TTAGTTCAATGGTGGAGGGCACGGGCATTAACTTGGCCAATCCTAACTCGATTGACAATGGATATATTTTCGATCCCAGTCTCCACTATTTCATCCGAACAAGCTTTCAATATGACAGGAAGGATACTTAAGGAACGCCGGAATGCATTGCAAAGAGATATTGTTGAAGCCTTGGTTTGCATTAAGGATTGGGATCGGGCCGATCAACGTCTACAAGATACAATTTCACCGGCAAGCCAAGAATGGATCGATGAATTTAATCGATTAATATTTAATTTCGAAGACGATCACTCAGCTTCAAATTAAATTGTAAATTTGTAATTTGTAAATATGTATTTACTTTTTACATTGTATTTGTAATTTAATAAACAATGTAAGTTTGTACAATTTGTAATTCGTCACAAAATGATTGCACTCTTTTTTCCTTGCCAAGTTTTTATCCCAATTGGGTTTTTCTTGGTAAGGTTTTTAATGAGGCAATCATGAATTACAAATTTAAAAATGAATAAAGAAATAATTTTTTTATATAGTTCGTGTGTTCATTTCAAATTGTAATATATATATATATAAATATAATATATATATATAAATTGTAATACTAATATATATATAAATAACTTAATATTAAAAAAAAAGTTTAAAAAATTTGGGCAATTCGGGCGGGCTCGGGCTGCCGAATACAAGCCCGCGGCCCGTTCAAGGTGAAATTCAGGCTCGGGCGGGCGGCCCAAAAATCTCGTGCGGGTCGGGTTCGGGCTCAGGCAAATCCTCGGGCTTTTCGGGCGGTCGCGGGCGGCCCGTCTAAAGTTCCAGCACTAGGTATGAGTAATACCCCCAATAATAGCTAATTTCAGTGTTTAAGAACTTCCCAATAAACGACGGTAAATTTTGATAGCGGCAATCGATGCAAAGAACAAATTTTTATAAACGACAGTAAAATACTGAAAACGACAAAAATACTAGAACGACAAAAACTACTAGAAGCAACAACTTTTACTGAGAACGGCAATATACCATGATTTGAATCATGATTCTTGGTTCGCCACAGTGTTTTTTCTTACAAAAAATACACATAAATAAAAAATAATTATAATCTCATGATTCTAATCTATGAACTAGACGTCTCCGACCCAGTATATTCATCAGAAAAAGAAACATCACATCAAATTCAATTGGTCTTTTCTCTCGGCAAAGGAGAAATATAGCCCGAGGGATCAAATTTACAAAATCTCGCCATTTGAATGAATGGCTTGGAAGAAGATCACAAAAGTTAGGCAAAAAATACACGACAACTCGGAATCAATTATTAAGAGCTCGATCGGCTACAACAGTAAATCCATAAACTTTATCCACGGAAACGACGATGAGTTTGTTGCTTCCTTCGTTACTTCCTCCGAGCATGAAGTATTGACATTAACGGTGTTGACGATCATGTTGTCATCGACACGCTTTAAGCACAAAAAGAAGTCCCTTGATCCCAAGTTTATCACCTTCTCATCTTCATTCAAACCTACACAAATTCAGAACTTTACTTGAGAACCAGAACTCACACAACCTTAAAAAAACACAAAATAGTTTCTGATAAACAACAAGTTACTGAAGTGCTGATCAACTCGGACAACTTACTTTCAAAGCTGAAACACGAGTAGTGAAGCTCGAAACGGTGCGGATTAGTCTCCGGTAGCAACGGCCTCCGCTTCTCGGCCGCGTAAATCTTCAGCACCTCCTTTATCAAGTCCTTGACTGTCTCCTCCGTCGGCACCACCACTTGCACCGCCCCAAAACTCCTCTCCACCGTCACCTTCACCAGCACTTTCGTCAGCCGCCGCGACGACGTCGTTTCGGGAACCATACTGAAAACTCCGTACGTCGTCGTCTTTCTCTTTATTGATTGACAAACCGGTAAAAGTTGTTTCGGAGGATTTGTCCAAAACTTATCGCCTTCGGAAGATTAACGCTGTATTGCCAAAAAGAGGAAAGACAGATAACGCGCGAAGCTTCTTCGAAGGAACTTAGTGGAGTTCTGAAAATGCCCTCAGGAGTACGAGTTATTTATGGAAAGAGACGGCTGACTGTGCGCCGTTTAGTTGGTTGATTCGAGTTGAGATGTGACTGTAAGAACTTTTTATTATAGTAAAAAATTAGATATGACTGTTTTTAAAATCTTTTTATTGTAACAAAACTCAAATCGGTAAAATAAACATGGCCTGTTTATTTAGGAAATGGAAATCGTTGCACAAACTTTACAATCCGTAAATTGTTGTTTGTATACAATAATATGATCCTTGAGAAAAAAAAATGAAAGTATGATTGACGTACCAATTTGAAAAATTAATTTTGGATTATCAAGCGATTGTGATTCTTTATCTCTCCTTTCATCTATAATCGCTCTAAATTTTGTACTTTATTTCAACACACCTCCTAAATTTTGAAAATGGTTTATTTTACTCTTAAAATATGTACCTTAGTTCAAAATGTCCTTAGGTTTATAAAAAAAATAAATTAATGACATGTCACTACTTATGTTTTTATAACTATCCTTAAACTATTAATTTTAAGTCAATTTGCTCCCTTACTTTTCTATCAACTTGTCCCCTAACTTTTTAAAAGATCGAGGGACAAATTGATACAAAATTAATAATTTAGAGAGTATTTATGAAAAAATATTAATTTAGGAGGTATTTTAAACCACTTTTCATACTATAAAAGTGAAAATGACTTTTTAAAATTTAAGAGACATATTGAAATAAAGTACTGAGCATTTATGAAATTAATCCTATGACAAATATAGGCCGAGGGGGAGGGATCAAAATCTTGCCATTTGGTTGAATGGCGCTTCGAATAAGGATCACAAAAGTCTGTTGGGTTTTTTTTTTTTTTTTTTTTTTTTAACACAAACTTAAAATTTAAGGGTATAGATGTTTATAGTTATGATGATTCTATTTGCTTAATCAACTTTTCTCGATAAAAATTAAAACATCTAATCAAATCTAAAACATATAAAAAATATATTTGTTTTTCTAAAAAAAAAAAAAAAAGTATTTGTTTAAGGATATCTATTCTAACGGTTTGATGTCATTGGAAGTTAAGAGAAGTTATATTAGCAAAAAAGTTAAGAGAATTAAAGATTAGTCAGCTGGCATAGACGCTTCTTGTTTTCTTGCCTAATCGTTTGGTTTAGGTTTGGTGCTAGCTTTTAGATTTTAGGTTACCTTTTTGGACGAAATTAACAACATTTGTGAAAAGATTAATCACAACAAATTAACTTTTTCTTTAATCAGTACTGGGTTTATTTTGCAAAGATTCAAATGATTATGTGTGGTAACTGGTAAGATTAATATTAGTTAAATTTAGGCCCCGTTCACTTCGCCAATTCGAGTTTATAATTCGAGTTTTGCTACAATAAAAAGCTCTCAGAAACAGTCACATCTAACTTTTTTACTACAGTAAAAAACTCTCACATAACATCACATCTTAACTCGAATTAAAAACTCGAATCAGCGAACTAAACGGGTCCTCAGTATTTAAGAACTTCCCACTAAATGACGGTAAATTTTGATTACGACAATCCATGCAAACAACAAACTTTTGATTAACGACAAAAGTACTAGAAACGATAACTTTAACTAAGAACGGCAATATATATATATATATATATATATACATACACACATATATATATATATATATATATATATTATGAATGAAACACTACATCAAATATGTTCATTAAAAAAAGAAACACTACATCAAATTCAGTTGGTCTTTCCTACTTTTCTCTTTCCAGTTTCACAAAATCTCACCATTTGAATGAATGGCTCGGAATAAGGATTACAAAAGTTAGGGGGGAAAAAAAAATACACGACCACTTAGAAACTACAATCAATTACTAAGAGCTCGATCGGCTACAAGAGAAAATCCATAAACTGTGTCCACGGAAACGACGATGAGTTTGTTGCTTTCTTCTTTACTTCCTCCGAGAATGAAGTATTGACATTAACGGTGTTGGTGATCATGTTGTCATCGACAGGCTTTTTGCACAAAAAGAAGTCCCTCGACCCCAAGTTTATCACCTTCTCATCTTCATTCAAGCCTACATATAAGAACCGGAATTTAAAACTAGGGATATTAAGCAATAAAACAAGTTATAATGATCTGATAATATTAACCACTTACTTTCGAAGCTGAAGCAGGAATAGTGAAGCTCGAAACGGTGCGGATTAGTCTCCGGTAGCAGCGGCCTCCGCTTCTCCGCCGCGTAAATCTTCAGCACCGCCTTCACCAAGTCCTTGACTGTCTCCTGATCCGTCGACACCACCACTTGCGCCGCCCCAAAACTCCTATCCACCGTCACCTTCACCAGCACTTTCGTCAGCCGCCGCGACGACGTCGTTTCGGGAACCATACTGAAAACTCCGTACGTCGTCGTGAGAATTAATTACGGTGCTAATTAATTCCAAGAAGAAGGAAGGCAAGAGAACGCGCGAAGCTTCTTCGAAGGGAACTGTCAGAGTACGAAAATAACTCATTTCAACTATAATCAACTAATCGCTCTATAATTTCTAAACACTATAAGAGGGAGTGATTAGAAATTCTCTCAATTAATGTGCAGAAGTAGTTTTTCTCTCTATATTTTTCTAGCAATTCTAAAATATGAAGCATCATTCTTATATAGATGCAAATGGAGCAAGCAGAGTTAGAGTCGGTTTTGAGGATAAATTTTGGCTCCTATTAGAAATCGGAATGACAAAAAAATCCATAACTGCAGAATCCCAATCATAATAATATGAATATTCAATTGCGTATCTATGACAACGACCCTGAAACGAAGTCAACAATATAAAAACGGCAGTGTCTCTGTAAACGACAATATATTGCAGGGATAAATAACTCGATAAACGACGGGAAATTTTGATAGCGGCAATCAATGCAGCAAAATCCAAATCGCTGCGAACCTATAAATCAACAAATTTTCCGTAAACGATAAAAGGTACTAAAAACAACAACTGTTACTGCATCGAATTTATTCATTAAATTATTAAAAAGATGAAATTTAATTAGTTTTTCCTACTTTTCTGTCTCTCTAAGCAAATGAGAAATATAGCCCGGGGGATCAAATCACAAAATCTTGCCATTTGATTGAATGGCTCTGAATAAGGATCACAGAAGCTTCTTTTTTTTTTTTTTTTAACACGATCTTAAAATATAAAAGTGTATAGATTAATATTCATGGTAAATTTATTTGCTCAATGAACTTTTCTCAATAAAAATTAAGACGCGTGATATACTAAATAAGAATAAATCTTCATCGAATCAATAAGTACATAAAACATAAAAAAATGCAGTTTGATGTCATTGGAAGTTAGGAGAAGTTATATGATGAGAGTTCCGTTCTGTAGAAAGTGCCTACAAATTTAAGACCATTACGTTTAGAGAAATAAAGATAAAGATTAGTCTGGTATAGCTGCCTCTCGTTTTCTTGGCCTAATCGTTTGGTTTAGGTTTGGTGTTGGCTTTTAGATTTTTGGTTACCTTTTTTCAATGAAATTAACAACATTTGTGATAACAAGAACATGGATAGATTTTGTGTTGTTTAGTTTAGTGTGTGGAATAAGATATGTTGATGATAGAGTCCTAAAGAAAGCGACTAATTCCTGCAGATGATGTAGAACAATCCAGCATCGCGTATAGACAACAACACATAACGCTCACTGCCCAAAACGGCCAAAACAGAACTATAGATTTTGGACACATAAGGCACTTACTGGTGGACCAAAATAATATTCCCATGCTTTTGAAAAATAAACTCTCATATAAAATCACATCTTAATTCAAATTAAAAATTTAAATCAGCGAACTAAACAAAGCCTATAAATATTTTGAATTGTTCATTGTTGTCATGCTTTATGCATTGTACAAGAGCACAATAGATGCCAAAGAGAGAGAGGTGGTGTCATCATCGCCGCCGCCGGCAGATGTAAGAGGGGTTGGCCGTGATTGGGCGACAAGGGGTGGTGTCATTGTGAGATTGTCGTGGATGGGTGGTTGTCGTCTCACATCTCGGAGGGGAGGGTATATATAAAATATATATTTCTAGTCAAAATTATTATTAACCAAGAAAGAGTATACATTTAGCTAGGGGAAAAAACAAGTAATATAGGGCATGTTCTTTTGTCTAAAAAACTCAAAAAAAGATAACTCGAGTTTCAATTTTATTTAAGTTCACGTTCTTTTAAGTTTCAACTTTATTCAACTTTACTCAACTTTATTCGAGTTACAACTTTAACTCAAGTTATAATTCAAATTTAATAAAAATTACACTTAAATTACACTCTAAAAGAACAACCCATTTATAGGGATTGAAAACGACCGATACATTATTATCTTAATAACTCTAAAATACAAGTCAAATAAAAACAAAAAAGTGAATTAATAGTGTCCTCAAACCTCCAGTTTAACACCTTTTGTAATTTACGATAAACCCAATCCATACTTTTGTCAGCTAGCACACATGCTTATTTCCGACCATCCCCAATCAAAAGTATTGTTGAGTAAATAAAATAAAACTTGTCGTATGCCCCGGTCCCAGCTGACCCATAATCTATAGGGTAAAAAATGCCAAGCGATTTGAAAGAACATTATTAAGACATCCTTTGTTTAAGATTTTATTGGTGATAATTTATTAAAGAAATATTTTCATTTTAATACTTTCTATTATATTAGAATTTGAGTTTAATATTTTTTATTTTTAAAAATTTTATATCAGTATATTTAATTTTTAGAAAATATCTTTTTGATACTTGAGGCTTTTTTTAGACGTGAAATGTTATTTATATATTTTTATTTATTTAATTAAATTTTTTAAAAAAATAATAAAAATATTTAAAACTTTTAAAAATTAAAAAAAAAACTTAAAATCAATAACCAAACAAATCGAATCTATCACAATAATCAAACAACTTCTTCTCCTTCATCAAAAACCCAAATCTATTAAAATTAAAATTAAAATCACATATCAAAACTAAACATTTCTAGTTATTCAATGAAACCAAACAGATTAATATCTCAAAATCAAAATCTTTTTCCCAAAAAAAAAAAAATCAAATAATTCTCCTTAAAAAATAACAACAACAATCCTGAACTTTCTTCACTCTGCAACAAACCAACAACAACCGAGAACAAGTAAAGATCAAATAGCAAATTAAAACCAACAGAAAAACACACACAAATTAGCAGAACACGACAAAGATCGAACATCAAACACACACGGTGAGTAGGTGCCGGTGGACGGAGGCTTAAGATTCCGAACTTCAACTAGAGATTTCACGAGGGAGGCACTGAGTTTCGTGAGGATGTCAGCGCGAATCTAGTGCCAAATCACGGAATGTTGGTGTAAAATCCGGCAAGATTGGGGCTGAGTTCAGAAGGTTGGTCGCGCGGGTGGGGCCGGTGGCTGCAGATCTGGGCTCGCCGGAGGTGGATCGGGTGGGGGTGGGGCTCGCCAGGGCTGGGGTCACGCGAGGTGGGCATCGCCGGAGGGTGGCTGGGGCTCGCCGGTGTCTAGCTGGGAATGGAGAGATTGTCAGGAAATCAAGAGAGAGATTATCGAGGACTGAAGAGAGAGAGAGAGAGATTTTCCGTTTTTATTTTTTTAATATTAAGTTTTTTATTTTTATTTTTCAATGCTTAAAAATATTTTCAGTTTTCTTAAGAAAATTGTTGGTTTTTAATAAAAAGGGTATAAATGACATTTTACATTCAAAAAAAGTCATTCAGACATTAAAAAGATATTTTTAAAAAAATTGAGATATCAGTATAAAATTTTTGAAAAAAAAGGAATATCAAACTCAAATTTTGATATAATAAAAACCACTGAAATGAAAATTTTTCCTTATTAAACACTGCATATTGATCCAAAGACTATTAAAGAAGACATTATCTCTTTGCAGGAGTTTGGCTTTGTTCACATTATAATAAGCATTAAATAATATTTTTCTTCTTCTTCTTCTCTTTTTTTTGTTTTTGTTTTTTTTTTTTGCAATAAAATATATTTTTAACACGAGCTCAACTGGGGAGTCACACACTTGTGAGATCACCAAGCCTTAAATATGTAACTAAAATGATCCGTTGTTTTCAATACACATCATCCACTACTTTGTGCCTCTTTTGTCATACAATAAAAGTTGCATTATTGCATCTTGTGATGTCAATTATAGTGTAGAAAATGCACCAAGAGCTTTATTGGGTAAAACTTTTTTGCTTTCCACTGCAATAAGATATTACATTACTTCGAAGGAAACCAACATGAAAAATTGGATTTCCTTTTGGTGTTTGAGCAAAGTACAATGCAAATCATGATCTCCCATTGCAATCAATATGTACAACATTGCTTCACTGAAAGTAAGTTTGTATAAGATAAGAAATATGGTTTAGAATGAAACAATAACATGCCTAAATAATAATGGCATGAGATTCTGAGCAACACTAATTAATATGCTGGTGTTGCTCCGACAAATTGTGCTCGCAAATGGTTCGCGCGCAATGTCCTCATTGCGAGCAGACCAAGATCTTCCAAAGCTTTCGCGATCTTCTTACAATTTTTTGAATCTTGAGGGCCAAAAATGATGGAAGCAAGAACACAGGAGGTGGAGGAGACGTTGCTCTTTCGGGAACAATTTCGGAGGTAAACGAGGTGGACGCTCCACTGTTGCCGCTGTTGCGGCTACTGCTCTTTCGAAGATAAAAACTTCTACTACCTACATCCCCAATTATCTCTGCTTTATCCAAACCTGTCCAATTAAAGGATTGTTGTACTTGCTAGTTATAACAAGGAACAACTTTTGCCGCAGACAAAAAGGGCAATAAGTACGATGTTTTTATGGTTATGAATGCTTAACCCTATACTTGCTAACATTTGTGTTAGTATAACAAAATAAAACTTCTTGAGGTAGGCCAAAAGTTTTTTTTTTTTTAACTCTAATTTCCTCTTGCAGAATATCATAAGGGACCATATTTTCAATAGTATATGCAACAACAATTAACAAGTCTATAAATGTAGCAGAAAAAAACCAATCAACATTAATGACCTTAGGCGCCATTTATCATCCTAATTAAGGGGACCATATTTTTGGCATCATTATATTTAAATGTTCAAGACCATAACCTTGTTCATTCCAAGACCGTGTTTCCCAAAAAAAAAAAAAAAAAAATCCAAACAAAAGTTTAGAACTTTAGCTTACTTTGAAGGCTGAAATAGGAATGGTGCAATTCAAGTGAAGATGCAGCATCCTTGTCAAGCTTAGGAGTTCTGCCTTCTTCATTGTATTTGTCAACAACTTGCTTAATTGCATCTTCCACACTTGATCCTAATTTAACCATTGTCCTTAATGGTCCTGGACTTCCCTCAACTGTCACATTGACAACCACCTTTGCATCTCTCTTGTACCCCAAAATCTGCATTGCAATACGAAAACGAAAATGAACACTTACACTAACACCGTTAATGGGTTTTAACCCAAAAATTGACAAAAGTAAAACCAGCATCATATCCAATTAGTCCATTGTTTATGTGTCTATATCTACTATGCATATATTCAATCATTAGTGTTCCTAAAAAATGAATTGGCCATGACTAAAACGTTACTTTTGTGGATGGAGATAGAGAAGTTTCACTTTTCTTGTAATTGGATTTCCTTTTCATTCTTACATTTGGAGATGATTGGTAAAATTAAAAAGGTGATGAATTGACAATGTTAATTAAATGAGTAAAAGTAAAATTAACAAATTTATATTCATACAGCTTTTTGTTTGATTGGTCTTCCAAACAATTGAAAACCAAAAAAGAAAGAAAATAGATTTTAATTCAGACATTCATATTTTGCAACTACCAAACAATCCCTTAGGGAATAGGAAGTTCTCAGATCCCAAAAACCGGTGGCGATCGTCTTCGCCGGCGTCTCCCCCGGCGGTCCAGAGCGCGGGCTCCGACAAGCAGCGCTTGAGAATCTTGATGGGCTTGGAGTGCTTCAGAGATCGGCGAGGCGCCGGCGGGGTCTTCCGGCGAGGCGACGGCGACGGCGTCGGGTGCAGCGGTCTGATCCTCCGGCGGCCCGTCGCCGGTGCTCTCCGTCGCAGACCCCTTTCCGACATATAACTATGTATCTATATATGTACAGATGAGATCAACGTACTAAAGATAAATAAAATTAATGTTTAAGAAAAGTGATTTTTAGTGTATAGATCATCATAACTGAATTTTTGAGTTTAGTTAAGAGGGAGGCTTTGAAGAAATCTAGGAAGAGTTTTTTTTTCAAGAAGAAAAAGAGTGAAGGGGAGTTGAAATAAATAAAAAAATAAAATAAAAATGGTAGTTAGAACTTGGACATGGGGGTTAGCGTGGCAAGGAGGTTTCGTCGGTTTTTTTTGGGGCCAATGGTCGGCTTTTGGAGGTTGATCTCCTTATTAATTTTTTATTTATATTGTTATTTTTAAAGGCTTTTATTTTTTATTTTTATAAACACCCCAACTTTTCTAATTTGACGTTTTAGTCTTTATTTTTTTCTGACAATTAATCTCTTTAATTTAAAATTTTTTATAATTAAGGTCTAATAAAAATTAATTTTTGTTTATTTTATGATTTTAATCACGTGATATTCATATAAGCACGCGTTGAAGATAATAAAAGTTATTTATCACCTTATTTATCGGATTTATTGATATAAGAGTCATGTAACACAAGGTTAATAAATGGGAGAATTTTATCATACGGTAAATAAAAATACCCATGTCCTAGGAATTTATTTCAAAGTATTTAATTAGATTATATGATTTTGTAATTATTTTAATTTTAATTTAATTTTAATAAGATCTAACATTAATAAACATGCACTATCAGTATCTCGCGGAAGAAACCAAAATAAACAATCCTATCATAAAAGTATTTACTTATTTATTTATTTAGTGCTTGATCTCACTCAAAGTTTTTTTTTTTTTTTTTTTTTTTTGTCAATTTATCTTTGTCGTTATCGGTGTCTTTATGCATTGGATCACAGATGGCCGATTGATTATGGCGTAAAGGCCCTTATTCATATTCTCACTTTCCTTTTTAACTCAATTTAACACCCATTTGATCCCTCTCTCTCTTGCACACACAAACTTATTTTTTATTTTTTTTTTTTCGCCCTTTGTTCCCTTGTCGGTGTCTCTTTGCGTGTTCATGGGATTCCTTTTCCATAGATGTGATCTTCAAACGTTAAAAGAAAAATCGCACCAAATTCCGTGTCTCTGTCCATATATCTCCCTTTGTTTAGAAGCAAAACTACATTCCCTGGAAAAAAAAAAAAAAAAAAAAAAAAAAAAAAAAGCAAAAGCATTTTTTTTTTTTGAAATGCGACTTTTGTTTCTTGGGCTTCTTTCGGCTTTTCTGGTTTTCAATTTATTTGCTTTTTGTGAATGAGATTGATATGCACCAGCTCAGCTTTGATCCAATTTTGGTGCAATTGGGTTACGTAGACTAATTCACATTCATAAAGGGGTTTATAATTGGCTGTATTATTAATGTTAAAATTAATGTTTACGCTTAATTATATATGGGTGGGTGTAAAATTGGTCATTTGCGTGATGGAGTTCATGATAATGGAATCCAACATATTTCCATGATATCCTATTATTCATCGCATGCTCAAAGGCTTTTCAATTATTTTTTCCCTTTTTTTATTTTTTATTATTGATAGTTGTTGACGTAAAATTTAGTCAATTCGAAATTAACTCTCTCCGAGAATACTCGCAGACGTCTCTCACGAATTAATAAAGAAGAATAATCGCAGAAAAATAAAGAACACATAAGTTTATAGTGGTTCGGCAGAAATTCTTTGCTTACGTCCACTTGTGGATGCACTATTATATTCAAGATTACAATCTCTCTTAGAGTCGTAAAACAGTGCGTAAAAAACTGAATGGAGAAGGCATATTTTATTTATAGGTCTTTTACAGATCAAAGATCCCATCTCCACTTCGCGAGGGGATCATCCCCGTATCCCTAAATCTCGGGATCTAACACTTGTATTTCCACGTTTGAACGACCGAATCGGGGCAATCACCCTTATCGGTTATCTGATTTCCCGATTTGAATCTTGACAGTTTTTGCAACTTATCTCTTCCTTAGATGGCGGGATTTAATTTAGATTTGACCGAGCTGCTCTCTCGACATCGTGAACTTCACAGCTTAGGCGGAGTTCTCGACACATATCCTCTTCCTACATGAACTCTCGTCGTCTTGAGGGCATTCTACATTCGACCATTTCCTCGGCGTCAGTGACCAACTCTCGACTGAGAACGTCTTGGCACTTGATGGTAAAAGGAACGGTTAATTGCTCGACTGTGGCGCAACAATAGTGAATCTATATGTGGTCCAATAAGAAATAAAAGAGCAAAAGTGATTCTTAAGGGATGGTCCAAAGTCCCAACTTTCATGACTTATATCCAAATGATTAACATTATTGTTGCTTCACATTTAAACAGGGCAAACTAATTATGTCTGCTCCAAAAAAATGAGATCTTTAGAAGTTGCTTACCATAAACCAACTCTTTAGTCTTTTAATATATTATTATTATTGAGAGACTATAACAATACATATATATATATGTATGTATGTATGTATGTATTACTATTGAGACATGCAGAGTTTTGGAAGTCTTTTATGACAAACTAAAGGGTGATTACAAGACATTGCGTACACGTTGAGGCAAAAACATTAACTAAACAACAAAGTGGCCACAACTAACAAAAACGACAATTCCAGCCAAAACAAATAACAAATAACAAAACGACAAGAGAGACAATAAAATATTAACATTAAAGAAAACAGTGATTGATTAGAAAATCAATGAAGCACAAGAACAATCCGGCAGGGTCACTGTCACAATAAATTAAAAGAAAAAAATTATATACGACTGTTCACGGTCATGTTTCGAGTAGTGAAGTGGTATTTAAAGATCGATACAAAATGAAAATAAGTGTAATGTTTGGGATACAAATACGAAAATAACCCTAAAAGATATTTTGTTTATTTTGAAAGGAGAATTTGGTTAAAATAACCAAGTGAAAAAGTAAAATTAAGAAAATGACTTTTTTAATTTTAATTTTATTTATTTCTCCTTCCGTCAGTCTCTTTCTGCCGGAATCAATGGCAGCTCCTCCCGCCGGTCTCCTTCCGCCGGAATCAATGGCAACACTCCATTTCTCTCTCTTCTTTTCTTTCTCTCTCCCCAAAAGGTCGAGACCCACCTCCAAAATCACGCCGAGAATGTCGAGAACGTGGCCGCTGAAAATGGCCCTGGCGACGACGCCGGCGAGGTTCAGGGCTCTGAACGTGCCGTTGATTGTGCCGTTCACGATCGCGACGTCGAGGCTCGGATCGAGCTGAGCAGTGGATTTGTGGGTGGGGTGAATTTCTGATTTTTTTTTCATTTTTCTTTCTTCTCAGAAAGTCATTTTGCAAATAAAAATTTTTGAAAAGTTATTTTACTAATAAAACTTTCCTATTGAGTTATTTTTACAAAGGCCTCTTTTGGAAGTTATCGTCGTATGTATATCAGAACTTAATCGTTTTAAAATATATTGTCGTTTCCTTCGATATTTTTGTTGTTTCTTAGATTTATTTTCATGTGTATTTTGTTGTCGTTTCTAAATGGCTGATGTCGTTTTGTTTACCTTGTCGTCTTAATAATAGATGATGTCCATGGTTGAAGAGTAAATAAATTGTTTTTTATAAGATGTTGCATGTTGTGTGTTTTAAATATATGACGTCGTTTTGCTTATTGCATAATTTTTTGTTTTGAATAAAGTTTATATTTGAAATGTAATGTTACCGCTATTCTTGAAAATTTGTCTTTTATTAATGATAGTCACTCTCGCAGAATAAAAGCAAATTATTACGGTAAAAGGGGGTTATTGGTTAAAACGAAAGGAAAATATGTATTAGAACTAATCTTTTTATATCAAAGTTTCAAAAACATAGAGTAAAAATGGTAATAATACTTATTTCAAGAAAAAAGAGAATCCAAATACAAGTCAAAAAACCACACCAGTAAACCACGAAGAAGTCCCAATTGCAGTCAACTTATGATTAAAAACCCTAAGGCCAAAAACAATCAGAACCACTAATATCGTTACTTGTTAAGAATCAAAACCAATGGCAAAATTTGTTAATGGAATATAAATCGGGTAGTCGGAAAGTAAATTTTTTGATAAATACTAATTACTGAAGATAGATTATCTTCTATCCGAGTTATACCAAAAGAAAAAAAGTAAACAAATTATTTCAAATTTAATTCTCAACAACATACTTTTATATCTTAACATAATTCCCACTCTAAGATATAGGATTAATCTACATCCATTAGAACAAGGCAGTACAAATCAAAAAGCAGTCTGTATTCAACACCCCACACCCCCACCCCAAGTTTTTTTTTTTTTTTTATTATTTATTTCCCCCACCCCAAGTTTTTTTTTATTAAAATTCCATCAATCGGATAATATTTTTAAAAAAAATACATATTTCAAGTACAAGTCAATTAACCATTACAATGATAGTATGGTTATTAATTTTTCTAACAAAAAATTATTAAAATACCGACTTGTAAAAGGATTCCAATACCCGGGCTTTCCCTTCAAGTATCAGTAAGACGATAGTATTATTAATAATAAACGAATTATACTTCAAGAAATTAAGAAAATTATCCAAATACGAGTCAAATTCAATAACTAATACTCGTTTCTTTTTAAAAGGAATGTTATTAATCTGTTTCCTTTTTATTTTTTGAAGTCTATCAAAGTCTCAGAAACATAGAATCCAAATACAAGTCAAATTGCAGTTAAGTTATGATCATAAACCCTACTGCAAAAAGCTATTTGATTATAAACTAAGCACATCTATTCATTATCGATTGCTTGTTAAACTCACTCACTAGCTTTCAAATCTTCTCTTTCTCATAATGGCTCGCAACAATCTGCTATACGACACCATGTATACTTCTATGGATCACGATCACGACGATCTCGACGATGTATTGCTCGACGACAACGTCGGCGTATTTCCTGCGGAGGACGAATTACTCGACGACAACTTCGACTTTGCTATGGACGATGATGTGATTGAAGATCTGGAGTCGTTATTAATGGCGGTTGAACATGACTATTTTCCGGATCCGTTGCTGCGGACCGATCTCGCGATGTGGTTTATGGGAACAACATCAGTTCACGATCATCTGTTGGAGGACGCTTCATTCGATTGCGGTTCTGTTTACGGGATTGATATTGATCATGATCATGAAGATGATCAGACAGAGTTGAACAGAGCAATTGGACAGAGTTTTTCGGAGTCATCCAAGGCGTTTGGATCAGTGTCGGCGGCTAAATCGGCGGTGGAGGTTCTGGAGAAGTTCAAATACGAGAAAAACAATGAATCAGAGCAGATGACATGCGTGATTTGCGTGGAAGAGTTGATGAATGGGTCCCACCTCACTTGTATGCCTTGCTCCCATGCTTTTCATAGTGATTGTCTTTCGCAGTGGTTAAATGAGAATCATCAACGGCGGAGTCAGGATTTTATTTTAAGGGAGGCATAAATTAAAAATATGAAAAATGTTATAAATGCTAAAACATTTAGGGCTCGTTCACTTCGTTGATTCGAGTTAATATGTGATTTTATATGAGAACTTTTTACTGTAGCAAAAAAGTTAGATGTGACTGTTTCTGAGAGCTTTTTACTGTAGTAAAACTCGAATTCTAAACTCGAATCGGCGAAATGAACGGGGTCTTAATATTGTTGGCCAATTAGAACCACGTTTGATACTTGTATATTTATCAATTTATTGAATTTTTTGATACGTGAATTAAAATTTTACAGCGTTTAATTTAAAAAGATTTTGAAAAAAAAAATAGTGTTCATTACTTCAACAAGGTCAAATTAGACAACAGATATTTATGTGAAAGTAGTAATTAAGAGGGTTAATTACTTGAAAAAATGCTCAACTAGAGACACATTTGGGAAGTGTATTTTAAAAAGGGCCATTTGAATTTTCTTGTGAGACTCACTTTTTATGTATATAATAAAGATTATATGAAAAATATATATATATTAGAAGGGACAAATTTGAAAAAAAAGTTTTAACTAAAGTAAATTAAAGAAAAATAATTCAATCAGATTACACCAAAAAGTATAAGATTTAATATGAAAAGCTCAAAAGAACAATGAAAAAGACCAAAACGCATGAAATAAATATTTAAATTAGATTTAGTGGAGATATTATGAAATTTTTGTTAATGAATGGGTATATTTGAAAAAAAAAAAAACTTGAAAATTGATAGGGTGAAAATTAAAAAACCAAAAATCAAGGGGGGCATAAGGGGGTATATATGAAAAAACTTGAAAATATATAGGGTGAAAATAAAAAAAAATAAAAAAGTCAGGGGGCCCCCTCTGCCTTATTTCCCCCGCCCCTGGGAATCATACTAGCCCCATCTGTCGTTTCAAATTGCCTAGTCAGTGATGTTTATATGTTGCGCATGTTTTGACTTGTTTAATTAGTTTGTCCATGTCTGCATGATCAGGCACCTTTTTTTTTTTTTTTCAAATTTATTGTAATTTTTCTTTCATTTAATAAATCAAGTGGGATCTTGTTGTTTGATAAGTTCTCCAGTGTGGATGCCAAAGTAGTTAAAATGTTTTGGAGGTCTCCCTTTTCATTCACTAAAACAAGTGTAGTTTCTTTTATTTCACTTAATGGTGAAAAAAGCTGTTGTGATTAAATATCAATTTCTTAATGCTCTAATTCCCGTCCTAAGCTAGCAGTTATTAATTCTGTTAGTTTAAAAAAGACATTTAATTAGAATAAGTAAAACTGTAAATTATAGAAATATAATGTCTATTATAGAAACAATCCTCAAACAAAATTCTTAAGATTACAAAAGTTCAAATCTTAAAATCTCTAAATTCGTCATGTGATCTTAGACCATCTTTCTTAGTCAACTGAAACGTTAATTATAGAATCTATATGCATCATAATAACTATATGAGCAATAACTCAGTAAGTAAATTATAAATCAAATTTCACTTTAAAATACAAACTTTAACTTTAGAGTCCTCTTATATAACGTTAGTCTTCTGCTATTAGAACCCCTTGCATATGACTCTTGTCTTAAAAACTCTTATTCCTCAAGAACTTGACCATCATTGTCTAATTATTAATTCATAATAAATATAAAATTTCAAATTATACTTAGAAAACACTTTTAAATTCGCATAAAAACAAGTGAACTTCTTTAAAGACATACTATTGTTTAAGTGATGTAGTGAAAGATCAACTTACCTCTGACTACTTAACAAGATAAATAGAACTCCCTATTTTCCCTTTCCTTTCTGCAAATCGGTAGCAAAGCTCCCAAATTAACCAAACTCACTCATGTATGCATATAAGAAGAAATTCTTGGCGGCAAGTAATAAGTTAACATACCATTTGACCAAGTGGCTGCCCCATATTGCATGTGGCTTAGTAATATCACTAATAGCTTAATCCGTAGCCAAGATAGAAAGGTTAATAGCTTATTCATCAAACCTATAAACGACTTGTCTAATTCTCTGGCTTGATTATCTATCCATTAGCCACACAATTGATAATGTTTATCTCAATTTGCCACCACATGCTTGTAACGATATCAATCACTACAAATGTAACGGCCACCTCACACTTGAAACATTTCTATCCTGTTTCCCTTATTACACATCTTGCTTAAATTTATGCCTAAGCTAATACAACTGTTCTACCACACTATATATCCCATCATAACTTTAAAGCAAACTCATGCTTATTATCTAAAATAAATATTCAAAAATCATAAAAATAAACTATATTACATAGTAGATGGTAGATACAGTGACCAAATTGAATCAAATGCTACAGATGTTACAAAACAGTCCTCGTTTTAACGTATATGTTTATAACCATGGTAGTTGTAGTTTGTTCCTCACAATATATTGACGTTGCAAAACACTCATATAGTACTATATTCTTTATAAAAACTTAACCGATAATCAGGTACTTTTGCAAATTAGTACTTAGTTGCACTCAATTTCTCAGCTACTTAATAGCAGCATTGAATTTGTCTAAACTAGTAATTATGAAGAATACACATTAAAAAGCTGCTATCTGTATGGTAAGCTGGTCTTTTTTGAAAAGACCACAAATTAAAGGTTCCAGATTACAAATAAAGAAAACCGTGAAATAATATACAAGTTGAAAACAAATTCTATCAAACAAATTTGTAAACCAGCTATCTCTTTCTGCCTCGAACGCAAACCTTTCCCCTCTGCTCAGTAAACATATAATATATCTGAATAAACACAAGAACTCAAGCCTTCATGATATCAAATTACCAAAAATCCTGTTCGGCATGGAAGAAGCAAGCGTATAGATGCAAAGTTTCACTTCTTATAAAGGGATCTCGCAAAGGATGAAATCATTGATTTAAGAGTGAAGATCAGATTGCTGATATAATTATGACCAAGCCCCTCAAGTTGGCAACATTTTCAAGGCTAAGAAATGTTTTAAGACTTGCGGTTTGAGAGAGGGATTGTTGAATAAGTCAGAAGTTTTTTATTTCAAGTATCCGTGGTGTTTCCTAGTCTTTAATTAGGGACCAGTTCAGTTTGTTTTTGTTAGTGGAGTACGTTGTCTTTAGTTGCCTAGCACGTACGAGTCTTTAGTATGTTTGCTATTTCTTTTGGTTCTTTCCCCATCGTGCGTTTTGTCTATATAAAGGCTATTGATAGTTGTCAGAAAAAGGATTTCCCCTTATTGTGCTTTATTTGTCTATATATATATATGCTGATCTTCCGTAAGTGTGTAACATATCGTTTTAAGTTTGCCCAGCTAACCAGTAATATTCATATTAATAATTAAATAAGAAAAATAAAAAGAGTAATAGAAGAACAAACCGATTTACTGTGGTTCGACAAAATGTTTATATCCACGGATTAGGAAGAAATAGAGAATTTACCAATAAAAAGCACTATTAAGGTTTCAAGACACATATTCTGGTAAGTCACCTAAAATTAAAATCAAGAACCTTCCTAAAATAAAACTAAATATTAACAAAGTCGAAACTACTAATAAATATACTTTCTCCAATATTCTGTCCCTAATACATATGTTAGTTAGCTTTATAATTATGATTTATATGTAATATTTTGACCTTGTTTAATTAGTTTATGCTTGAATCATGCACTTTTTTTTTTTTTCCATTTTGCACGTACGGATAGATCCTTTGAGGGGCTGCAAGTAACTTTTCAAATCTATATATTGCAATTGCTTTATTTAATAAATTGAGTATATGCTAGCTAGTTGTTATCCCTTATAAAAACTGTACGTTTTCTTGTATTCTCTTAATAATGGTGCAAACAGTATTGTGTTTGATTATCAATTTTCCGATCGATGATCTTCGAATTAATTAGTAGATAGTATAATATAATGTCCAATTCATCGAATTTATTGATATGTAACAAAACACTCGTTACCGACATATATATAAGTACTAGTAGTTGAAGTAATTATATATTTTTTTTTTCGACATTGCTGTTGGGACATTTGCGGACCTAAGAAAATTAGAACGCTATAAAAAATTTCGTTTTGTTAATTGAGAAAATGGAGGAAAGTTACTATAAAAAAGAATATATAACTAATAATTTACTAAAAAAGAAAACAATAAATGATTAACTATTTCAAATTTTATAAAGTCCTAAAAGGAGCTGTCTCATGAGATTCTAATCCTTAAAGAAATCAAATAATTATAGGGGTCCAATGAAAGAAATTAACAATAACAATAGTGTACGTTACTATCTTTTACCTTAAATCAAATTAGAAATCAAATCAAATTAAATCTCAGCAACCTTATAACTAATTACCTTGAATCTCACTATTTAAGAGTTTATAAAGACGCCAACCAAAAAAAAATAAAATAAAATAAAAAAACAATAAGAGTAATGACTGGTACAGAAAATCTCCATCGATCCCTTAGAAAATCACATATACGTCACCATAAAGAACACTACAGATTATTTAGTCCACCGAAATCTTCGCCATTCTTGCTCTGCTTTTGTGTTCCGTGTTGTTCACAGAATCCGCTCAGAAATTAGTACTACTCCGACGGAACACGCCGTCAGATGGTACTACACTCGCGACGAAATTCATCAGCCATTCGGCAGATTATTGAAGTCCGTCGGCGAATGCGAGGCGGCGGTGGCAAGAATGTTGTCGGACATACGGATCCCATTTGCCTTTAACCGTCGGAATCGTAATTGTCTGCATTGGAAGGAGCTTGAAATTTTCGAATCATCGGTAGAAGTTATAGATTGACATGATCTAGAACCTCGCGCGGCCTCAACGACGTCGTTATGAGGATATCGGAAGCCGCTGCTCGTGTTGCGGCGGCAGCGGCGGGAGATAGGCAGGCTGAGACGGTAATTAGGATTGAGAAGCACACAATAGTCCCGCACGACAAATTTCGCTGGTTGGTACGTGGTATGACTAATGATAATGATAATGATCAAAATTGTAATCATAATAATGGTTGAGATCATAATTCAGAGTTTGACTTGGCGGCGGCGGAGACGGGGGAGCAGTCTGAATCGGTGCAGTCGGCTGTTCAAGGATTGGAGAGGTTGATATACGAGGGGGGTAGTACTGATCATGATGATCATCATAATCATGATGATGAGTCAAAGTTAATGACGTGTGGGATTTGCACGGAAGAAGTGATGATTGGGTCCCAACTCATACGCATGCCTTGCTCTCATCAGTTTCATGAAGATTGCATTCTGCAGTGGCTAAACAAGGCAAATTCATGTCCTCTTTGTCGTTACAGACCTTCCACTAATAATTGTTTGGTGTCGTCTTTGTTAATTCCATATTAGCTTTGTTATTATTGTTTATGTATTGGATTTCATGATTAATTTTTTTCCCCCGCTAATTAAAGGGAGACATGCATTTAGATGAACTTTCTATGCAAATCCACCAGTTCAAATATCTCGTTTCGTTTTTTTTAATCACATTATAGTTCTCTTCTTTTTTATAATTAAAAACCAAATAACGTGCTTGAAACAATTATTTGGCTGTTTTCTTTTTTTTTTTCTTTTTTTTAATAAATAACTATTTGTTTGTTGGCAGCGTTTAGAGGGGGAGAAAAGTTTACAACTGTCCATTTGTGTTGAATTTTTAGGCGCTCATAATGGTGCATAGTCTAAAAGTCAACGTCTGAATTTTATTTGGAATAAAATCTATGAGATGTGAAATGAGAAAGTACCCTATTGGAAATATTATGAAATATTTCTAATATCTTAATGAATTGATGAGTAATAAGATAACTTACTCTCTGACAAATAATAAAAAATACTTTCTATATTTTTTACTTGCTCTTTTTATGATATGTGTGGTTATAAATAGATAGATAACAAGACACAAATTGAATAGCGTAACATAAATATGTCAGATTTATGATAGTTTTCTCTCTATGTAGACGCGCGCATGTACCCGGTGGTATATTTTCCTTCAATTTGTATATGTGCATAAATAATATTAATACTGGAGAACATATTAGGAATTTAAATATAGGATTAAAGTGATTTAGATTATTTATTTAAATTCATATTTATCTATTAGGATATATTTGAGTTCTGATTATTTCACATTTATTTAAATTTAAATAGTGATATTCAGAGTTTGATTACTCTTAGGACTTATGTGCCAATAAATAAACATCTTTAGGTTCATTATTTTTAGACTTTGATCACTGATATTGAATATCCATATTCTGCCTATTGTTTCTCAACTTCTTCTCAATTCCTATCTCGATTCTTTTCTATCTCTTTCTTCTTCAAATACTTGCAACAATGTCCGGTGAACGTGTCTTCTTCGACATGCATCCAATTGAAAGTAACATATACGTCACAGCAGAGGAGTGTATTAGCCCCATATTTGACCCAAACCCTTCAAGCCCTAGGTTTACTTTAAGCATCCGCGCCACTCAAAGAATCCGTTCGGACTCCAACGCCGATGAGGACATCAGAGTAATACACAATTCTTTCCAAGAAATCTCCCACCACTTCGACCCGCTACGAGCATCCGCAGGCGAACGGGAGGCGACCGTGACGGGCATGTTACTATTCGACTTAAACATTCCGTTCTCCATTGACGTGGGAGAAGACGATGTGGATAATCTGTTTTGGAACGTTGTTGACTCTCGTGAACAAGAAGCCTTGCATGGTGGCCTCTACGAGGTCGTGATGAGGATATCGGAGGTCGCCGCACGTAGCGCCGGTGATACTGTCTACAATCGGGCTGTGATATTGATATGGATTGAGAGGCGCTCGACTGTCCCACATGAAGAGTTTCAAAGGTTGGCTGAACATTCAAGAGTACTCCCACTTGTTATTGATAATCATGATGGTAATGATGAAGTTTATGATGATGGTGATGGTGATGAAGATCCATTCGGCTGGGTTTTTCAGAATTTTGGCGAGTCCAGATCTATGCCGGGGGCGGCGGATGAGTCGGTGGTGGAGGCGTTGGAGAGGTTGACATATGAGGAATTTAGTGATCATGATGATCATCATAATCATGATGATGAGTCAAAGTTAATGACGTGTGTGATTTGCATGGAAGAAGTGATGATTGGGTCCCAACTCATACACATGCCTTGCGCTCATCAGTTTCATGAAGATTGCATTCTGCAGTGGCTAAAGAAGGCAAATTCATGCCCTCTCTGTCGTTTCAGTTTGCCTTCTAGTAATAAGCGTTCAGTGTCTCTTTTAATTCCAGATTAATTAGCTTTGTTATTTACTTATGTTTTGGACTTCGTGTATTGGTAGACATTCGGATGAACTTTTTTTTTTACGTGAATCCCATCTAATTATGTATCTTTATCTCGTATCAGATTTTTGTCAGTTATATTTTCTTTCTTTCTTTTATTTAAAAACCAAATTATTTAGGTTAAGTGTGCCTCAATAGTGAAATTTGTTATGCTCCAACTAATAGAACAAAAAGATTAGATCTCACACCATCCATCATACCAAACCGGTTCTTGTACAAAGCTTTGGTTTTCACTTATTAGCTACTGTTTTTCACTGAAGAGATTAAAATACTTAACCTGTTTGGTTAGAGGATTCGTTCTACTGTTTTTTTTCTTTTTTTTTTTTGTAGAGGAAAAGAGATATCGGATGAATTTGTTATTTTCCATTAAAAGTTTTTCATGAATATAAGGAAGCATGTATACATGGCCGCATTACTATTCTTCTTCCCCTTTCACCTTTCTTATTCTTGGAACAATTTTCGTGAAATAGTCGATAAGAGGGGGAAAAGAAAAAATATCAAATCAGTATGGAAAATTTGAACTTCAAACTGGCAACAAGAAAAACCTCTTCGAAATCAGATAATCATTTTCATTTTAAAAGTTTGATGGATGGTAGATACGGAAAAGCCAAGAAGGAAAAGAGAAATAGCTGCAGTTTTGCAGTGCATATAAAGAAGAAAAAAGAAAATTGAAGAGAAAGTTTGGACTTTTTAGTAATTTTGCATCTGTCAGCGTAGCAGCCTCTTAGCCACGTGCCTCACCTAATCGTTTCGAGATGCAAATCACGAATTTTATTCGTGATGTGTAGGCTCTCTTACTTAGATTAACTTTTTAAAAGAAAAACATATTAACTATTACAATATTTTTATTTATTAAAAAATGATTAATTTCATTGATGTCCCTTAAATTTTGATGTCATTCCCACTTTACTCCTAAATTTTAAAAACTCTCATGTTGTCCCTTAAATTTTTAATTAATCTCATTTAAGCCCTTTTGTAAGAATATGTATTAAAATTAGACCAAGAGAAAGGAGTTATGAGTAGTCATATGCTTTTTATTTGTTTGTTTTTGACGGATTTTCAAACAGATTGACGACGTGATTGTATTATTCTCTTTTTTTCTATCTGTTTTAAACAAAAATTCCAACATAAGAGATTAAGTGAGAACAATTCAAAATTTAAAAAAAAAAGTGGGAGCTTTTGAAGATAAAAAACAGACCGAGAATGACGCCAAAATCTTAAGGCTATGAGTGATAAAAATGCTTAAAAAAAAACCCTATTACAATAATGATTTTAAAAGGATTCCATCGTCTTATCCACTTATATACTGATTTGTACACCCAAGGAATAAGACTAAACAACTAATAACAACATTAATGCCTCCTAAGTTCATCATTCTTTTCTTTTAAAAATTCCATGAAGATTTTTCACCCTAGCTTTCCGTTCAAGTATCAAAGACACAGTAAATTGACGACTTAGTTCAAGAAAGAAGCCAAATTCGAGTAAAATTCAACAATACTACAGTACTCTCGTTTGTTTTGAAAAAGGAATGTCCTCTACTAATCTATTTTATTTTATTTTATTTTTTTTACTTTCTATCCAAGTTTCCGAAAATACACGTCAAATTGTAAACTTGATATAATAAACCCTAATTAGGCCAAAAGCTATTTAATTATAAATTAAGCACACCTGTTCAGAATAAGAACCGCCACTTTACTTGTTAAACTCACTCACTAGTTTTCACAACTCGTCTTTCTCATAATGGCTTGCAACAATCTGGAATACGACACCATGTATACTTCAATGGATGATCAAGATCGCAACATTAATCTCAACGACAACGACATCGTTAACGATGACGTATTTCCATTGGAGGACGAATTACTCGATCAAGATCGCAACATTAATCTCGTTAACGATGACGTATTTCCATTGGAGGACGAATTACTCGACGACGACATCGACTTTCCTGTGGATGACGTAGTTCTTGAAGGCGAGGAGCAGAATCTAGATGATGTTATAGATTCGGGGTTGTTCTTGGCGGCTGAACAGGGCTACTTTTCGGAGCCGGCGTTGCGGGCTGATCTCGTGCTGTGGATTACGGGGGCGACATCAGTTCATGATCATATGTTGGAGGACGCCTCCTTCGATTACGGTTCTGTTTTTGCAAGCGATGATCAGGGAGAGTTAAACAGAGTAATAGGACAGAGTTTTTCGGAGTCGGCGGCGGGGGCGTTTGGATCAGTTCCGGCGGCTAAATCGGTATTGGAGGCTCTAGAGAAGTTCAGATACGAGAGAAGCAATGAATCAGACTTGATGACATGCGTGATCTGCATGGAAGTGGTGATGAATGGGACCCACCTCACTCGTTTGCCTTGCTCTCATGTTTTTCATGTTGATTGCATTATGGAGTGGCTAAACGACAATCATACTTGTCCTCTCTGTCGATTTAAATTGCCTAGCCAGTAATATCTATGTGCTCGGCATGTTTTTTCTTACCTACACAATTCAAGTTATGACTTGAGTCGTGCAAACTTCAATTTATTGATGTATAATCATGCATTTTTTTTAGAGCCTTTGAGGGCTTCTTGTTGTTTTTTAAATTTATTGTAATTTTTCTTTTACTTAATAAATCAAGTTATCTTCTTATGATAAGTTCTTTAGTAGTTTGATGTGTTAGAGTTCATTGAAGTTAGTTTCTTTCTTTTCATTCATTGAAAAAAGTTTTTTTTTCCTTTGATGGACCAAACACTATAGTGCTTAATTATCAATTTTCCAATGATCCTTGCATTAGTGGCTAGTAGATGCAATAACCAACTGAATTAAATGCTTTTGATGTTACAAAACACTCGATAACGTCATAACATATATAATTATTCCTTGCAAACTATTTTCGTTATAAAACACTCATATATTCTTGTCAAAACACGTCCAGGGTACTAAATTATTTACATAGCATTACTTACATAAGGTATATTATTGCAAAGTACTTGACTGCATTAGTTTTCAAACAATGATTCCATTTCTCAGCAATTTTTCAGCTACTTAAATATCAGCATTGAATTTGTCTAATTAATTAAACTAGTAATAAGTTAAAACACTGGCTTATGGTAAGCTGATCTTCTTTGAAAAGTTCACAAATTAAAGGTTCAAGATGAGGAATAAGAGAAATAGTGTGTTCCTCAAAGATTCATTGACGCTATTAAATGTATTGCTCTGCAACTTATCAGATATGTTAACATTTTCAATCATAAAAAATAGTAGGTCTATAATCAATACTGTTGTTTAATTTCATCCGTCGTCGTTGCACTATAATTAATGCAACTCCAATGTTTGCAACATATGAATTAACATGGAAGTATTCAATATTATTGATCTATTGATCACCAATTTAAATCCTAAAAAGCAATATTAGCACCAATTCTGTCGCGCCACATCTCATGACATTTGTTTCCTTATTTCACATCAGTGTAACATTTATGACCATGGCTTAGCTTCAATACATGAACTTATTTTTTAAGTAGAATTGGAAGTAGAATTTTTTCTTGGAAATCTTTTAGTTAAAAAGAATTTTGTTGGAAAATGATCAAGCAATTTTAGCCAAACATAACTTGGATAAAATAAAACCGGGCATAAGCATTAACAGAGAGAATCTACAAAAAATTAATCTGGAAACAATTTACACTAGTTATAACTAATGCCCACTACAAGGGCGCATGACAATCTGTTTCTCTAATGTTATCTTTGCGTTAGACGCTTAGGTTATGGATTAGAATCATAAGATTAGAACTATTTTCGATTTACATGTATTTTTTGTGAAAGAAAACACTGTAACGAACCATGAACTATGATTCGAATCAGGTTACGAATCCCCCAACCAAACAATCGAGGCATTTCATGTAAATAAGCTAGAATAATTAATTAACCAAGAAAACTTTCAACATACATATATATATATATATATATATATAGCTTATAATTTTTTGTCCATACGATCACAATGTTCAATACATGATTCCCATATCAAGTATCCCATGAAGTACAATCACTAACCAACATATAAGATCTCACATTGGTTTTAAATTATACTATCATTTATTATTATTAATTAGTTAATTAAGAATGAGGTAAGGATATGAAAAAAGAATACCATATATACTATTATAACAAAGTTTTTAACCGTGAGATTAAATCAGAATCAATCTGATGGTTAAAAATATGTCCAACAAATAATGATTTTTTCCATACCTAATTCTCCAAGGAATAACTCTAAAAATAAAAATAAAAAAAATCTCTCCAATGAATAAATGACTTATTTCAAATTTTGTGAAGTTCTAATAGGAGTCGGAGAATTAATTCTAAACCTTAAAAGAGTCGAATTAGACGTGTGATCTCCTCCGATCTCTATTTGTATGGCATCTAATTATTCTAATTGCACCTCACTTCTCACTTCTCACAGTCGTCATGGTTGGGCCTGAAACCTTAAGTGGGCCTGGTATAAAATCGGGTATCCACATATGGGAGGTCTTAATTGCACCTCTTTAACATATGAGAGGTCTTAATTGCACCACTTTAAAAGAGATTAGAGTTCGTTTTACCAAAATTAAAAAAATAGAGATTAAATTATCACCTACTAAAGAGATTATGAACTATGTGCTAATTACCCTTAAAATATCATATAATTATCTTTATCTCGTACTGAAGTCTCTTATAAGTTGTTTAGTTTGGTACGAAAGAGAACACAAAGAATAGAAAGAAAATATGTAAGAGATAGAAAATTGAAAGTGTAGAATCGTAATAATTTATTTAAGTTGTTTGGTAGATAAAAAGGAAAAAAAAAAACCTAAAGATTTGTACAATTGCTATTTTATTCATCTGCCTATATTAATTTACTTTAAAACAAAGATAATACTCCAATAAAAAGATATATTTATTTTTAATTTCCGTTGAAGCAAAATAATAATAATAATAATACATATATATACACACACACACATAACTTTTTATACATGTTTATTTTACGTTTTGTTTGGGATCTTGTGAAGCCGACATATTCTGTTTAGAAAAAGTCTATCAAGTTTCAAAAACATGGTACTAATTAATACTTATCTCAACCCTCAATAAGTCTTAAAAAAAAAAAATTCAATCCAAATACGAATCAAATAACAACTACAGTAGTTTGCATTCCACAGGAGTAATTAAAATAATACCCTAAACGCGGATTACTTGGAAAAAATTTGAAATCACCATCACTCTTACTAAGTAGCGCTTTCATATCCTCTCTTTCTGATCACATATCCATACCTAAGACGACGTCGTAAATCTGTCTAATACACTGGCTTCCTAGTTTTAAAAGGAGTCTAATTATTAGACTAAACTAATTTAACCGCCAACTTGAAGAAGTCCTTATTGTAGTTGACTTATGATTCTATTGCATAATCAAACTCTGAATGTTATTTCGTTATAAATTAATTCCAGAATAACCAGAGAACCACTGTTATGTTACTTTTGGCTAACTTTCATACGATCTCGGATCTCCTCTCCTCTCTCTTCCTCTCTCTTTCTCTTTCTCTCTCTAAGTTGAGAACGCAAAGAAGAGCAGTTAGAATGGCCCACGACGATGACGATCAGTACTTATATCCTGTCGATATCTACGACGAGGAGCGGAATCTGAATAATCTCATAGATTCGTCGGCGACGGAGAGAAGCATATACATCACAGCAAGGAAGACCAACTACCCAGACAACCAAAGCCTTTCCTCCCCTCGATTTTACATGGAGTTTTGCTTCCTTCACAGAACACGATGCTCAGACATTCGCCATTCTGCCGACAGCGACACCAATATACTCAGCACGTGGCTGGAGTTCCATCACCCGTTCGACAGATTCGCATCCGTCGAGGGAGCGAAGGCCGTCGTGGCGAGAATTCTTTCCGACGAAGAAACAATCCCTTACTCCGTTAATGGTGGAGATTCTAGAAGTAGTCAGAGTCTGCTTTGGACAGACCTTGACGCATCAGCAGCACTAGAACTGTTTCAACACGGCTTCGACGACGTCGTAACGAGGATCTCGGAAGCCGCAGCACGTATTGTTAGCGAGGCGGCGGCGGCAGGACGTAAGGTGGTTGAGATGGTGATCACGTTTGATAAGCGCACGGTTGTCCCACATGACGAATTGCAAAGATTGATAGCCCATTATGTGGAGTATCGTCAAGATACGGAGCTGAATAGAGCAATAGGACAGAGTTTCTCAGAATCGGCTGGACGGTTTGGGTCGGTGCCGGCGGCGAAATCGGCGGTGGAGGCATTGGAGAGGTTCAGATACGAGAGAAGTAGTGCTAGAGATGAAGATGATCAATCAAAGTGTGTGATTTGTATGGAAGAGTTGACGATTGGGTCCCACGTCACTTGTTTGCCTTGCTCCCATATTTTTCATGGTGGTTGCATTTTGGAATGGCTAAACGACAATCATACTTGTCCTCTTTGTCGTTTTAAATTGCCTAGCCAGTAATGTTCATATATTAGGAACCTTTATTATTATTATTATTTTTATTTGAAATGGAACTTTATTATGATTTATACGTAACATATTTTCACTTATTTAATTAGTTTGTGCTTGAATCACATGCACTTTTTTTCTTGTGAATCATTTTTAGATAAAGGTTTTAACAAGGTACCATTCAATTTTTCACGGTTACATCCTTTAAGGGGCTGCAAGTTATTTTTCCAATATATTGTAATTGCTTTATTTGATAAACTGATAGGGTTCTCTATTCATTTAAAAATCATGTATGTTTTCACTATAAGAAAAATGAGTTTTAGTGACAATTGATTTAGTAACATTTTAACAAAAAATGTCACTTTTGATATAATTAAGTGGCATTTGCTTAAAATGTCACCTATCATGTAATTTAGTGACGTTTTATAATTGTCACTAAAAATGTAGTTATAGTGATATTCAAAATTGCCACAGAAGATATAGTTCAATGACATTGATAATTGTCACTGAAAATACAGTTTTATTGACATTTTTAAATGTCACCAAAGATGTATATTGTAGTGAAATTTTTAAATACAACTAATTATAATTTTACTGATACTATTAGTAAGGAATTTTAAATTTTAAATTTTTTAAATTCCCTCTAAATATTCATTAACTTTTATTATTTGTAGCGGTCGACCTAATGTCGTCCTCTGTCTTTTTAGATCATTTGACCTCCTTCGTATGTCTGACACATCTTTTTAACTGTTTATTCCTAAACTATTCTTAATGCTCTTATTTATGGCATGTTGGCCCCAAACAATGTTTAATTTAAGATTCGGCGTTTTACCTTACAACAGTAATTGTTTAAAAGAATCACTACGCTCTAACTTCTTGTTAGTGTTTATTAAAGAAGTTTACGATAGGGTATAAAAGATACTGTATTCTTACGTCATTTCATATTAAAATCTTATCAAATGATACTCCTA